CACACATCCTCTCTAGGCCCAACTGTAAAATGATGGGGTTGGACAACATGGCCCCTTTCAGTTCTAAATTTATGATGCTATGAGCCTATGATTTTATTACCCTGTGTTATTGTTTTTCATGCCTATTGCTAAACTACTTCTACTACCTGAAACATACATACTCTGATGCCTGGTCTTCTAGCCTCTGTCTTTAGAAATCATCCCTTGATGATAAATAAGTTAAGATACCCTTGTAGGCAGTTTCAAAGATTTTATCTCTAGCCTACAAAACTGGTACTGATCTCACCCACACTTCCACTGACCTTAATGAGTACCAATGCAGCCCCACCTTCAACCTACCCTCTCTCCCACTTTTAAGATCTCTAGGATAAAATACAAACTTCTGGCATCCTATCCAAGAAAGTACAGACAAGGGACATGGAATTTATTTTTAGACTCCTAGGCTCACCATCCAATTTCCTTCACAAGGAACCTGGATTTCTTTCTTTCTTTCTTTCTTTTTTTTTTTTGACTAGGGGAAAAAGGTCATTCTCTGCCTCATTTCTTACCTAGCCTTAATCACTGAAAGGGCATTGCCTCACTCAAATTGAGACCTGAGAAAGACCTTAGCTTAAAAAGGCCAAGGTTTCCCACTGCATCTAGGGTTAGGGTTAGTCATCCTGATCTATAGCTTGCCACTGGACTCAGATGGCTCTGGAGAAGAAAGTGAGGCTGGTGACTTTGCACAGCCTTCCCTCACTTAAATCCAATTTGCACAAATGTCATGGTGTCACCTCCCTGATGTCATGGTCCTCTTCAAGAACAAAGGGCAAACAACAACAACAATTTCCCAGAGCTGAATTAATCTTCTCTTCTACATAAGGCCTTACAATTGGACAGCATTTTATTTTAATAAATGACTTTGCTAAAGTTATTTTCTTTTTCAGGGATAATCCTGCCCAACTTGTTCATTTTACAGATGAATTAAGTTATCTTCCGGTTCTGACATCCTTTGACTTTCATGACCTTGATTGTCTTACTGGATTTTGAAGTTCTATAGGATCTGGGAGTTGGAAAGGACCTCAGAAGGAATCCAGTCCAAACCACAACTGAACAGAAAAAATCCCTTCCATGAGACCCCCAACAGGTGTTCATCCAGTCCCTACTGAGAAAACTGAGACTTTCATCTGTGAAATGGGTGGGTGGATAAGAGCTCTTTTGAGTTTGCCAAGGTCACCTAGAAAGCCAGTGGTAGCCAAGGATTCAGACAAACACCTACTGCCTTCGGGGCCAGTTATGGGTCCATTAAGTCATGGCATCTCCTGAAATACAGTATTGGTCCCATGCAGGGAAGTAAGAATATGAGATATATCACCATCTCCTCCAAATTCTGGGAGAAGGTGATAACGTAAAAATGTTAATTCTAACTGCTTAATCATATGGCGGGTGAGTTTCCCTCAGAGCAATGCCATCCTTGTCCTTCATTCCCTCCATTGGTAATGGTGCTAGACACAAAGGGACCTGTCAGCCAGATATATTCTTGCTTTGGTTCCATGCCCTAGCCCCTCCCTCTGCACATGTCCTGGGTGTAGATGAATAGTTTCTTTTATCTTCCAATATTGGGCTGGTCTCTGGCAGGAGTCCAGGTGGCTGCACTAAGCAACATTGTTAAAGATGCTATCAGCCTTCGCCCCTGGGAGCCCAGGGCATCCAATTTGGCAACAGAGGTTTGGCTCAAGGTTGCCAAAGACACCTGTAATGGAGAATGGTACTCACCCTGGAGTAAGAGAACATTGAGGAAGGCCAGGAATATACCTACCTGTCCAGTAGTTCTTGCCTACATTGTCTCCTCCATTGACCCCACCCTAGTCCAGACCTTTATTACTTCACACCTAGACTACTACAATAGACTCTTAAGAACTCTCCTGGTCTCTTCTCTACTAGGTCCCTCTTCAGTCTATTGTGCACAGGCCACCAGGTTCATTGTCCTAAAACATAACTATCATTCTGTGACTTCTCTACTCAAAACCTTTCAAGGCTGGGCTGCCCATCACCCACAAGTTTAAAAAGCCCTTGCTCCCTAACCTGGCATTTCTAAGATTATTTAGGATTGTGAAAAAGAGCACTGGTTCCTCCAAATAAGCAGGATTCCTGCAACACTGATTGTGCCAGGGTGCCAGCTGGGCCAGGTTTCACAGAGTGAAAGGATGATAAAGAGACTAGAAGAATAAAGCAGGGTCCTCTGAAAGTACCAGAGTTAACTGTGTCTCTCTCACTACCCTCCCTCTCATATAAGTAGGATTTCCCCTGATGTTCCCTTCTGGCCTTGATTTATGCCCCTCCCAGCCCCTTCCCAAACTACACCCAAGGTAGTACATCTTAAGAACCTGATCTGGAGAGCTGGAAACTGTCTTTTTTTTCCCTTCTCAATGGATCAATCTTGGCTCATCTTGCACATTCTGCAAATAACTAAATTGCCTTCACACTTGTAACTTCCTTTGATTTCTATGTCATTAATGTCATTAATGCTCTTAATGGATATTCCCAGCCTCACAGGATGTCAAAATTGGAAGGGACCTCAGAAGGCATCAAGTCTAAACTATGCCTCAACAGAAGAAATCCATTTTACAGCCATTTTACCACACTCTCTTGCTTCCAGGCTTGGGACCACCAGACCAAAAGCTGATATATTTAAAAGCCAGTCATTCAAATGCAATAGTACTGCTCTGGAAGAAATTTTGAATGCAAAGAATTCAGAGAAGCATGGGAAGCAGGTTCACTTAGATGAACAGATGCACAATGAAGGAAGCAGAAGCAGAAAAGCAAAAAGCAATATACACAATGATTAGCACAATGCAAATGGAAGGGACAGTAAACATACGGAAAACAAACACTGTATAATTATTATGACCTAGGTTGGACCCGTAGAAGAGATGAGAAAATGCAACTCTTTCCTCTGCCAAGATGAAGAACTATGGGTAGTGAACCCTGCTGATACCAGAGGATTTCAAAGTATGGCTCAGGAATCCTTGGGTGCCCCTGAGGCCTTTTTAGAGTTCATGTGTTCAAAACTATTTTCATAACACTACTAAGACATCTTGATTTCTAACAGTAAGTATCAATAGATATTACCCACCTAAACAAAAGTTCTTTGGAGTGGGGAGGGGGGTGCGGTCCTCACTAATTTTTAAGAGTATAAAAGGGGTTCTAAGTCCAAACAGTTCGAGAACTGCTAACCTGTACTGTCAGACTTGCTTGATGTATTGGTTAGTTTTGCTGAACTGCCTCCCCAATCTCTCTCTCCTCCTCTCTCCCTCTCTCCCCAGTCTCTGTCTTTCTCTCTGTCTGTCTGTCTGTCTCTCTTTCTCTCTCACTCACTCACTCATTCATTCATTCATTGTTAAAAGGTGTGGCTTGCTGGGAAGGGGAGATGAAGTAATAAGTAAGAATGAAAGATGTCAATAAAAAATTTTTAAGTGTTAAAACAGATTTTAACTAAGCATCTCCTTTTTCCACACCAAACCAGCACCAGCACCATATAGCCTAATGAAATGGGAGGTGTACTGGACCTGAAGTCAAGACACATGGGTTCTAATTACTGCTCAGACACCCACTAGCTACGTGACCATTGACAAATCACTCAACCTCTATGACTCGCCATTTCCTCATCTGTAAACTAGAAATAGTAATACTTGCAAGAACTACCTTGTGGGAACATTGTGAGAAAAGTGCTTTTTAAACCTAAAAAATGCTTGGTATAAATGTGAACTTATTGTAGATTGCCTGCCCTCACACTACAGTGAAGTACCCTAGGCCAGCCCATCAGTCTCTGTATGGCATGCACTGGATCCCACCTTACCTGTCTATTCACTCTTCCACTAATCCCCTTAAATGAATTACCATTTTGTAGGCTTCCTTAACACCTTCTGTAAAATGAGGGGCTTAGCCTAGATGGTTTTTAAGGTCCCTCTCAGTTCTAATCATCAAAAAGCCTGTTTCACTCAATCCTCACACCTCTGAGGTGATTAGGGAGTATTATGTCCCTTCCACTACAGGAAACTGAGGCTCATAGATGTTAAATCATTGGACTGAAGTCACAAGGCTGGGTTTAGTGCCTGAAGGAGGACCAGAACCCAGGTCTGTGATGCCCAGCCTTTTGACTGAGTCTAAGTTTTACAGAACAAATCCTTTTATTAAGAGGATTTGTTCTGTGAAATTTGGATTCAGTCAAAGGGCCAAACTGGAGGACCTAAAGAGCCCCATGTGACCTCAAGGCCAAAGGCTTCCCATCCCTGGAACATAGGTAACCTCTGAGCTTCCATCCAGATCTAAAATGATCTATAATCTACTATAAGGACTTAGGAAGTGATGATAAGAGCTGGTGAGTATAAAGACAGTGCTTTACAATTTATTAAAGCTTTTATATCCATTCTCATTGGATTCTCATAGTAGAGAAAGAAAAGGCAGGACAATTACTCTCCATTTTACAGATGAGAAAACTGAGGCCCCAAAATTAAATGTCTTTTCAAGATCACAGAGTTCATTAGAATCAAGAGATTTGGATTCTAGGCCTGGTTCTTCCTAGAAGTAGACTGTTCTAAATAAAAGAAAGCTCTCCCAATAGAAAAGTTGTTTTTCTAATGCCAGGCCCTAGAGGCTTTAAAAATGCCTTTTCCCCCAAGTGGGAGAAATAGGAATTTAAATGGTACGTATCAATTTTCAAAGTATCATCTAGGCAAGATGACACACATCTGCTCCCAACTTTTCCAAATCTCCCTGGAAACTCTCAAAACTTGGCATCTTCTGAGGTACTCCAGTCAGCAACCCTAGAGAGCTGATGAAATCTCTTGCGTAGAAAAGTTCAGAAGCAGCAGACAGAGAGTAGACCTTGTAATCTACAAGACCTGGGTTCAAGTCCTACCTCCAACATGCCTGATGACCATGTAATCCTAGGCAAACTAACTTTTCAGTGTCCCGGGATACTCTCTAAGATGACTATAAATTGCAGAAAGGGTGCCTACCTGCCTAAGTAGAGGTTCCTCAGAAGATCTTGTGAAATCATAGGTCTCTTCAAAAAAAGAAAAAAAAAAGAGGTTTAAATAAAACCCAGGATGAAACCCTCAGGATTCTAGAATGTTAGCATCAGAAGGAATCTTAAAGACCATCTATTGCAATACTCTCATTTTACAGGTGAGCAAGTCACTTTTGCTATCTGGGCATCAGGCTTCCCAAAGAGTCAGGCCTAGAACCTATATCTCTTGATTTCCAAGCCCAGCTTTCTTTCCACTGTGCCTCTTTGTATGGCTTGTCTCCTCAGAAGACTTGATTTCTACCACCACACCAATCATTAGATTATACCCATTTCCCCTTTTCTCTCTCTGTTGTGTGACTAAAAATACGCCAAACAAACTCATGTTATAATTGGACCGAGTCCCTGTGGTCTTCACCCACCACCTTTCACTATCCCATCTCAACTTCACCCCTCCCTCACCCAAAACACACACAACCCCCAGAAAAGGGTGGAAATTATTTTGGGCTCATGGAAAAGCATGAGATAGGTCAACTCACAGCTTCTTGCCAGAGACGAAGCCCAGTGTGCCTTTGGTTGCCTAGTGAGTGAGACCCACACAAACCAGGGCCCAGGCAAGTATGCCACCTCCCTGGGGGTAACCACAGCAACTCAGGCCCCAAGACACCAACCTCAGAAACAGATCCAGATCCCTGAAACCTCCTCAGCGGAACTTCCTCGAAAGGTGGGCTTGCCTGGTATATAGAGCCACACCACCCCCGATGCCACTTCCTGTCCAGAAAACTGCAGGCAAATCCTTCATATGGGATTGGGGTGCATGGAAATTACTAAAGATATTTCCTTGCCCCACCAAACCTACCCCAAGAAACACTTCAGGGATTTAGAAGTTGACCCTTTCCCATGAAGGTACCTATCCCACCTGTAAATACTTCCAGATGGTCCAATATCTCTTCTCTGGGGATGTAGGGAAGAGAAAGAAAGAGAAAAAAACTTTGTTTTCCCCAGGGAGACAAGTTAATAGAATCACGGAAAAATAACTTTAGAGATGAAAGGGTCCTTGGAGACAACCTAATTCAACCCTTTTACTTTTACAGATGAATTGACTGAGACCCAGAATGAGGAAGTCAAAGGATCTAGAGCTGGAAGGAATTTCAGGAATCATCTAGTCTAACCCTCTCACTTCACTAATAAGAGGAAAAACTAAATCACTTGGCCAAGTGACTATACTACTAGCAGATAGATAGTATGCAGGATAGTTGAACTGGGAACCCCAAGTCTTCTGACTCCAAAGTCAGATTTCTTAGGATCAAAGAATAGAACGTGAATCCTGGAAGGTATCTTCAAGATCACCAGGTTCAACCCGCTCGTTTTACATACGAGGAAACTGAGACTCAGGGTGATTAAAGCTTCCTAACCAAAGTCATGCCGATCTAGGACTAAGCCCTCACACTCAGAAAAAGAAAAAAAAAATGTTTATAGTTCTGATATGTCCGGAGAAGAATGGGGTCCTATGGGGGGGGGTACCCCGGTACGTAGTTTCTCCTCCACCCCGTTTTGCCTACGGAGCTGGGGCCCGGCACAGAACACGCTACAGGACCAGCCCGCGCCTCCCCAGAGCTGGAGAAAGTTCCTGCCGACCGCTTTGGAGCGTGATTTCTCCCCGTCTCACCTGAGCTGCTGCAGCCGCCACCCTGATGCCAGGTGGGGATGGGCGTCATTCCTCTTCGCCAGCCTTCCAGACTGAGTGGGATGCCACGCTCCTCCGCATCCCGGGCCCCCGGAGCCGCCAGCCCAGCAACCCAGCCCAGCTCGGGGTAAAACTCTTCCCCGCCTCCTTTAGTCAATTTCCTGGAGTTAAAACACTGCAAACAATAGTCTCCAATCTGAGAGTCGCAGCTGCTCGGGGAGGGGGGCTTGGCTCAATTTTAGCATAATTCTAGAGATCTGACCAATGGGATAAAGGGAACGGCCCCAGGAAGGCGGGGATTGAACCACCTCCACCAATCGAGGAGATGCATCCGTTTCTGCCCGCCCTTCACAGAATCAGGGGTGTACGGAAAGTCTCGTCCTCCTGGAGAAGGCATTGAGGGATGCGGGTGGGAAGGCCCATTAACGGGCCTCCACGAACTGTAAGGTGGGATTTAGAGTTGGAAGGGACCTCAGATGAGCTGACAGACACTCCTTTATTTCACTGAAGAGAAAACGGGCCCAAGATCAAACAGGTAGCCAATAGGGGAGCCAGAACTCTAAATCTTTTGACTCTAAGTCAGTACCCTCTGCTTTCTTTTCTTTCCCCTCCCCTCTCCTATCCCCGTTACACCAGCCACTGCCTTCTTTCCCCTCCCCTCCATTCCCTTCCTCTCCCATCCCCGTTGCAACCCCCACTCCCTTTTTCCCTCCCCTCTTCTGTTGTCTTCATCTTCGGCCTCAGTTTCCCCAACTGTAAAACGAGGGTATTAGACTCCAAGGCTCCTCCCAGTTCTGAGAACTCATGTTTTGTTGACACAGGAGATGGGAGTGTTTCCTTGTGTCTCTTCTGGGAAAACTGTCGACATCCTTCTTTTTCCCCCCATGGCTGCTCATCTGCCAGAGGGAATCCATAGTTCTCACCGCCCTCCCTCCAGCCCCTTTATTTATTCTCAGTATTTCAAACCCTGGATTTCACGAGGTGCCCAAGTCAGGGTGAGTGACGCTAGAAAAACAACCCCTTTCTTCATCCCTAGGAGCCGATGACCTGCTTTCACTTAACCCAGAGGCTGGGCTCTGAGACATTTTGGCAGTAGGCAACTTTGAAAGTAGAACGTTCTAAAGAAAAGAAAGCTCCCTCAGTGGGAAGGTTATTTTTCTAATGCCAGGACCTAGAGGTTTTAAATTTACTTTTCCTCCAATTGTCCCCAGGGATATTAAAGGAAAAGACCCTGGAGATAATTTGGTCCAAACTCATGATTTTACAGAAGGGGAAACTGAGGCTGGGAGGTTACCCATAAACCCAAGACTAGCACTCCCCATTTCACCGAACTGTTGGGAAGCAAGTGCTTTGTAAACTGTATATTGCTATATAAATTTGAGGTATTAGTGTCATTTTTATTATCATAGAATGAGGTGGAGAGAACTTAGCTTGTTACAGTAGAAAGTGCTAGATATGGCACCAAAGGACCAAGGTTCAAACCTTGGCCCTGACATTTACTAGCTGTGTGACCCTGGGCAAGTCACTTAATATCTCAACACCTCAGTTTATTCACCTGTCAAGGGAGCTTAATGATACTTACACTGCCTACATCACAGAATAGAAAAGTGCTTTATAAACCTTTAGAAACAGAAATGTGACCATCTAGTCTAATATGTCCATTTTTCAAGTAAGGAAATTGAGGCCTAGTGTGGTTAAGTGATTTGGCCCAAAGCACACAATGGGTTAGTGCCAGGTAGAGCTAAGAACTAGAAACCAGATCTCCTGACTCTCAGACTTTGTTCCCCAGCCTCCACTCAGAGTTCTACTGAATCTCTTCCGTGTCGGAGATTCTGGTGTTCTGGGCTTCAGAGACAAGAAATACTAATACCTGCTGGAAGTCTTATTCTGGGTGTATGGAACTTCTACTTTCAGGACAATGTGGGCACGGCTTAGCATACATGTGTTGGAATGAGGGGGGAGGAAAGAACATTTTTCTGGATCACTTTAATGCATGGAGGGCTGCCCCTCACCAGTAGAGAACTGTAGTTTTACTCAGTGGTTCATGGAATTAAGTTGCTTAATTTTTTTTTCCAGAGTAAGGAACAGGGTTATAAGTAGGATGGTCAGCTGGAACTTTTCCCCAAGTTGGGTAATTTATAGAGAGCTGACAGCACTTTTACTGGGAGCGGGTGGGGGGGGGGGGGGGGGGAGAGGGGTGTTGTGCTTCCTGTCTTGATAGTGGCAGAAGCTATAGCTGAACTTTTCTACCTGAACCTTCCTCTCCTGTCTAGCTCTTTCCTTAGAAATAGTGAAACATCCTAATTGCCCCTTAGGGGTCTCATCCACCCATGCCTTTACTACCCCATCAAGCTTTCCATCTACCCTCCCAAGGGCAGCAGTCTTTTCCTCCTCAGCAGCCTCACTTTCAGCAGCAGAAGAGAAACCTTGAGATTATTTCTAGGGTATACTACTTTACCACCCCTTGCTCCCAATGAAAATGTTCCTAGTTACAGGGGCAGCAGGGGGCAGCAGCTCCTAAAGGCTGCAATTAAACGTATATTCTGTACTTTTCTCTGCCTCCTTTAAATCTTTATGGCCCTTACAATTCACACCACAGTAATAGGCTGTAATGGTTTCCCAACTTATCTTTTAAAAATATCATAGCTATGTGTGTACCTGTTGAATTGCCGGGACAAGACTGTTTGAGGTCCAGACCAGGTTAGTGTGATTCTACAGAAAGAACATGAGCCTTGGAGTCAGGCAGGAGGCCTGGGCTCAAATCTAGTAACCATGTAAGCTTAGGTACGCCACTGTCCTCCTCTGGATTTCAATTTCTCATCTGTAAAACAGAGATGACCATAGTGCTATCATCTGTCTTGCAGGATTGTTGTGACAAAAGCATTTTTTAAACATTTGAGTGCTAAAAATATGAGGCATTGTTTATAGGATATGATGAGTCTTTGTGCTGGGCAGAGAGTGTCCTCCTGCCTGATGGTTACTCTACATGGCCCACTTCTTTTCTATCTGACTTATTGATTTTAAGTGGGAGTTACCAGGATTTACAAAGCACTTTTCTCACGTAAATCTGTGAGGGTGGTAATACAAGCATTCTTGCCCCGCCTTAATAGTAACTGTCCTTTACACCGTGTTTGGACAGCTAGGTTGCACAGTGAATAGAATGCTGGGTCTGTCAGGAAGACTCATCTTACTGAGTTCAAATCTGACTTCAGACACTTACTAATTGGGTGACCCTGGACAAGTCACTTAACTCTCTTTGCCTCAGTTTCCTCATCTGTAAAATGAGCTGGAGAAAGAAATGGCAAACCACTCCAGTATCTTTGTCAAGAAAATATTAGGCCATGAAGAGTCAAGACATGACTGAAAAACAACTTAATAACAACATAGTATTCAGTACAGTAGCACTTTTGGACAGCCTATATGTATAGTTTTAAGGTATACAATTCACTTAACATTCAGTATCTCACTGATCCTTATAACAACTATAGGAAGAAGATTTCTCGTTCAGTTGTTTTTCAATTATAGTTGACTCTTCATGGCCCCATTTGTGGTTTTCTTGGCAAAGATACAGGAGTGGTTTGCCATTTCCTTCTCCAGCTCATTTTACAGGTGAAGGAACTGAAGCAAACAAGGTTAAGTGACTTGCCCAGGGTCACCTTGCTAGAAAGTGTCTGAGGTCAGATTTGAAATCAGGAAGAGAAGTCTTCTTGACTCCAGGCCTGGCATTCTATTCACTAGGCCACCTTACTGCCCCAAGGAAGGAACTAATACAAGTATTTTTATCCCTATTTTACAAGTGAGGAAACTGAGTCTCTGAGAAGGTAGAACTTGCCCATGATCACACAGAGAACAAGTGTCAGAGTCAGGACTCTCCTGACTCCAGGTCCAGTTTTTTTTCTACTATATATGATGCTTCTCCATTTGGAAGCTGATGCTCAAGAGAGATTAAATGATTTGCCCGAAGTCATAGATCTAGTCAAAGTCAGGATTCAAATGCAGGCCTTATGACTTCAGCTCCAGTATGTATTCCACTAAACCATGCCATTTCACACATATGTGTGTATATGTGTAAGTTATCTATCCTATTATTCATTCAACAGCTTTTGAGCAATTAGTATATACAAGGCACTGGGGATATGAAGATGAGTATTAATTTTGTGCTCCCACTAGGCTATAAGTTCTTATTATGGACAAAGGCTTCTACTTCATCCATATTATTATATATCCATAGCAGGGGTCTTAGGAACACAGATGCATAGGCATAATCCCTGGGTAAGATTCACTCACTCTAACCCCATCTTTTGCTGTCAACAGAGGTCTCAAAGTATATGCTCTAGGAGTGCCTGGTTGTCTTGCCTGATCCCTCAATATCCAATTGACTGATTGATTTGATGGGAATTCGCCTTGCTTACTGAGGGAAGCTGGTTCACAAATACAACTGGACTCATTCCTTTGTGAAAAGACTACTCCAAGCCAGATGCCCTGAGGTTACAATAAAATGAACTTTAGAAATCATTTCTGAAACTCTGGTTATTAGGGCCCCAGACAGTCTTTCTGAAATACTCCTCGGTAAGCCATCTCAGCTGGATATCATACAGAAACCCTCCACAGTATTTTGTGAGGAGAGACGGATTTCGCAAATGTCATAGGATTTGGCCCTTGAAAGGATCTTAAAGACTGTGAAGTTTAACCCTCTCATTTTAAAGACTAAGAAACCGAGACCCAAAGACTTGTCCATAGTCACAGAGGCAATTAAGTAACAGCTAAAGGATTCAAACTCAAGGCTTCTGACTCTAAACCCTGTTATAGTTTTATTATGCCACACTGCTTTCCTCCAATGGACTGCCTTGTGAGGCACCTTCAGAGACTCTGGAAGTGCCAGAGAAACTCCATTCCTTTCAATGTGCAGCTGAGATATCAAGGGAGACTGGTCTTCAATCAGGTCAAAGCTGGCCCCCTTGTGGCCTGTAGGAGGGATGCAGCAGAATGGATTGCCCAGTTTGAGTTACAAACTCATAGAATCCATCAATGGGAATAATAACGGGAAAAACACAAGAGATAAATCCCATGTGGTCCCTGTCTTCAAGGAGCTTATCAGCTAATACAACTTAGTCCTAGAAAAGCTCTCAGGATGTCATCTAGTCCAACCCCCCTAGTCAAGACATTCAAAGTGGTATTACCTCCATTTTACAGATGAGGAAAATGGGGCACAGGTTGGTTAAATGATTTTCCAAAGTCCACATAACTAGTCAGTATCAGAGAGAGATCCAAAACTCATTAAATACTGTTGTACAATAACCCTAGAAGACAGAAGATCCTTAGTGGGAGGCCATGACCCAGTGACACTCTCCAGTGGGAAGAAGGCAGGCCCCACAGTACACTTTTTCCTAACATGTTAGATTTATTGAAAAATTAAAGTCACAAGCTCTTTATATAAATACACTGACATTGCTGGCCATTTACAAGGCATCCATTGTTAGGCTGTGCACAGGGTGGCCAGACAGGACAGGTGCTGGAGAGGGGGGAGCTTGGGATCCATGGCTGACAGGGTAGAAAATAAATAATGAGTAAGAGAGCGGAGAAGTAAGCTGGGTGGAATAAACAGCCAGGGCAGGAGGGCACTTGCTGCCCACCCAGTCTGTGGCACTCAGATTGCTGTAGGGCATTTCCCGGGGACCAACCTCTGGCAGAGCCAAGACCCCAGAGCTCTCTCTTCACCCCTGCTCTGGCTAACAGTTTCTCAGAGGAAGGAGAGGGGATACTAAATGGAGCCAAGCTCCTCTGGGGCAGATGGGACACATTCCTCTCTTCAAGGGGCACAAGTGGGAGAAGGCGGAGAGGAGGCCAGAGCTGGCAGGCAGGGCAGAAAAACCTCTAACCCAACTCAGGAAGGATTCCAAAGGGTTCAGGGTGAAGGTGAAGGACAACAGAGCCGCGCACATGGTAAAGACAGGAAATGCCCCTTAACACAGAGGCGGAGCCACGTAGTGACAACGGTGAGCAGGTCAGGGGAGGGGTGAACAAAAGCTTAAGCTCCTCTTCTGTTCTTTCCTTAGAGTTCTTGCTTTCCCTCCCTCCTGGGCCTCTTCCTTGTTCTTAGTCCTTCCCTGTTTCCCCATCTTCGTTCCTGCTCTCTGGGCTCTGTTGGAGTGGACTGCTAAACCAGGGGATGCTAAGATCTGTCTGTCTGTCTGTCTGTCTGTCTGTCTGTTCTGCCAGCAGCCAGCTTGACCGTGTGCCTGGGAACGAGACCCTCCCTGAGGGCAAGGGGAGTAGGTGGGCCCTAATCTGGGCTGGAGGGCTGGCTGGAACAGGCGTGTCACATCACCTTGCCACAGCCAGGAGGGGGGCACTAGGGATCTGGGAAGGAGCATCTGTTTGACGTGGAGCTACGTGCAGTTTTACACGTGTGAGACACAACACAGAGCTCATCAGAGCCGCCACTGCACTTAGTTACTTGGATCCTGGGCACTCTCTCTTGGGCCATCTTTCTACTTGGCTCTGGGGGTCCTTCCCCTAAAGCATCACATTGAACTCCGTAACCAGGAAGTCCACATAGTCCCGGTCCTTCATCTTGAAGGCTTCAGCAATGAGGCGGGCGGCCTCCCGGTGTTCTTTGCCCCGCATTGTCATGCCATTCACCTCCAAGATCACATGACCCACCTTCAGCTTCCCACAGTTGTGGGCAGAGCCGCCTCTCTGCGAAGAGGAGACACAGGAAGAGGAAGTCAGCTCACAATAACCACGACCCTAGGCCAGCTACCGGTGGCTCCGAAAGACCATAGGCTGGATTCACCTGGCCTCAGACGGCCACAGCCAGGAGCTGAGCTTGCTCTCGTTAATTCTTATTTACATGCACTCGAGTAGCTACCAAGAATGCCCTCTGCATGTGTGTGGTAGCTGGCGCATATAGTAATGCTCACATACAAATGTAAAATGGCCCCTGCACCCAACACATGCTGTGCCAACCTATGGGTACACCTAAGCAGAGCATAAAGATGATATTAAATATCCCGGTGGCTGAAGCCACCAACCCATTCTAACTTTATAGACTGATTTTATCCCAGACTCCCCTCCCCACCTAGCTCCAATACACAGGTAGTAATCCGTGCAATTCCTTGCTTCCATCTAAGGTCTCTCTAAAATCAGGGACTGAGTCTTTATTCTACAGCCCTAAGACCCTGATTCATGGTTATGTACCCTTCCTGACTTCTGGTAGGAGGATGTTTGTGGGAGGGCTAATGGCAAAGGTGAAATTAGCGGTGTTCCCAGATCACATCTTTGTAAGCTTCAAAGCACAGAAATATTTTGGATAGAGCCCTAGTATTGCTTTGATTAAGATACCACTATGGAAAAGAAATATAGGAGAGAGAGTAGGGGCAAGAGGTGGGGTGAGGCTAAGAGTCCTGGAGCCACTTAGAATTCTTAACCTCCTAATGTTTTCTGGAATTTGCAGTGGCATCACATTGGTTGCTTGGGAGAATGCAAGCAGGAGACACATAGCCAAGTCTAGAGGAAACCAAAAAGGAGTTTCTGCTTTTCCCAGATGTTGCTTCTTTCCATACCTGGATGGTGACGATCCTTGGCAGGGGCTGTCGAGTATTAGCACCACCCTCAATAGCAATACCCAAGGTGGCTGCGCTCTTCATCACTCGGATCAGAGAGGATGTGGGCTCCAGGAGGCCAGGCTGACGGCAGAGGAAATGTTATCGTCACCAAATGCTGCCCCTTCAGTGGGTCCCTTAAAGGTCTTGGTTAGATTTCCTTTTTGCCTCTAAAATTGGACAGTTTGGATTCTTCTAAGCTTCCTGGCCCTATCCAAGGTTCATAGAACTGGAAAGAACGTTAGAGTTCATTGGATCCAAACTACTTGTTTAAAAAACTCATCCACTTGGAGTCAGGAGGACCTGAGTTCAAATCTGACCTCAGATATTTGACCCTTAATAGCTGTGCGACCCTGGACAAGTCACTTAACCCCGATTGCCTCACCAAAAAGGAAAAACAAAAAACAAAAAACTCATCCAGTCATTCAACAAATATTTATTAAGTCTGCCATGTATAATGCATGTAGCATGTAGAAGGGATACATACAATATAGTCTTCATCTTCAAGGAATTTACAAATTACCATAATGAAGAAACTGAAGTCCAAGGGAGGTCAGTGACTTGTCCAAGGTCACACACAGCAAAGATTAGAACCCAGGTTTACTGATTCCCAGTTTTTGTGTGTTTATTTATTACATGCTGAGTTATTTTATAGGGGACAACCCTTACGTGGCAAAAGCCACCCAGAAGCAAGCTAAAACTCAGACGGACTTACATTCTCATCCACTAGAAAGAGAAATCCTGATATCTTGTCGCCACCCTGAGGGTGTGATAGAGTTTGGGCAACGTTGGCAAACTTGGTCTCTAGTATGCCAGCTACTGGATCAGTGTGTAATAGGAAGAAGTTCTTTAATTTTCTGATTTAGTGACTCTAGGGATGGGGCAAGGCCAGCGTGTTTAAAGATGGGGGGAGGTGATGAGGAGGCCTCTATGACTGGGCGCCCTCAGGGCAGGGTATGGCAAAACCTTATTCGTGTTGTTCAGGTACGAGATGCATCCAGCTGCTGACCAGCTCATGCCTCTCACACCACACCCAGAGGCTGGGTCGAGAACAGGGTCAACCATGCCCCCTTACCCACTGGCTTCTGAGTCACATTTAGGAAACCCCTCCCTTGGGCAGACTCCACCCCCTCCCCATCCCAGAACACCCTGGAAACCCCAGGGTGGAGTCCAATCCCCAGCCTGCTCTGCCTATGAAGCTACCTCATGTCGGTCTATTCCTTACCGGTTTGGTGGCTGTCTCCGCTGCTCCCTCATTCCGGGGGAGGTCCTTGCTGCCTCTTCCCTTCATGGATGCCTGCTGTCGGCCCCGGTCCTTGCTGCTGGCCTCTGCCTCCCCAGTGTCCACGCCACTGTCTTCACTGAGAGTCTGCCCACTGTCTGACAGCTGGGAAAGGGTAGAGGCTGCTGGGGGTGATAGCGGGAGAACAGCTGTTAGCAGGAAGGAAAACAGAGTATGCTGTCAGGAGGCTGCTGAGGACACCTACAGACACTAGGCCTCTGAGTCCCTTCTGCTCTCCACGTGGAATTGGACATAGGGCACAAGGAGGTAAACAGGAGGATAAGGATACTAGTTTGGGCACCAGGTTAATCTAGGAAATTTTAGTTTCTTTTCAAAGGCCGGGTGACTGTGAGACTCAAAGACCCAGGGACTGGTACAAGGGTTTTTTGACTCAGGAGTCACTAGGGAGAAGCCACGGCAGCGCTGGACAGTTAATTACATATGAGATATACAGTGCTATTCCATGCCCCTACAACTATACCCACTCCAGATAAGGCCACTAAAACCGCAAGAAGAAGACATCACTTGGTGATGATTCAGTTTACTGAAATTCACTCACACTTCTTTACTTGCAAGGGGAAAGTATGAAGGCAATTGAGTGTCATCCTTTTCTTTCTCTCCAAAGAACTTGACTTTTATCCTTCCACTGGACTTGGAGGAATCAGGAAGAGAGAGCGAGGCTGACAACTTTGCACAACTCTGCCTCAACTTAAATCCAATTCACACACAAGTCAAGACATAACCTGTGATGTCCTTGGTCTTCTTAGAAAGCAAAGGACCACCACCACCACCCACGGTGCAAAATATACTCCCAACATCCCTTGCATTGTAGGAGGGTGGAGAAGGCCCAGAAATGGTTACCCTTTGGTTATTGCCAAATACCACTTCTATGAAGATCACTTGAAAATCTCTATCTCTAGATCTGAACTCTCTCTGATCTATCCAAGACCCCTACCTCCAATCACCTACAGGCTATTGGCTATCTCTACATGCATACCCCTGTAGCACCTCCAAATGAACATATCTCAAACCAGGGATGTGCTAGTAAATGTTTAACAACCAGCTCTCTGAAAATGCATAACACACTTTTAAGTTTAATCTTCATTATTAACATTTTCTCTATCACTTTCTTAAGTCTACAGTACAATCAAGCAAAACAATAAATCAAGTCCAGCTTTGTCCAATTGTTTGCCACTCTCCAAGTAGAAGCTTAAGCTCATACTGAAAATTTAACAACCGGCTCTCTTTCTTGACCCGGCTTCAAAACATTCTTGCCCCAAACCAAACTCATCTTACCCCCTAAATCAGGTTTTCCTTCTGATTTCCATACTTAAGTTTATGCTAATGTCAGTTACTCACGTCCATAACCTTAGCATTACTGTTGATTCCTTCCTTTCCTCACCTCTCCTATCCTATCCAATCAATCAGTTCCAAGTCCTAAGGATTCCAACGCTCAGTCATCTTTCATATCCTTCTTCTCCTCTCTATTCCAACTGCTGCCATTCTCATACAAACTCTCAGTATCACCTTCTAGACGACTGCAATAATCTGTGTCTTATCCTCTGCTACTTTTTCCTTCATGTAATCCATTCTTCATTCCACTATCAGAATAATCTTCCTTAACAACCTTCACTTTTTGAAAATCTTCATTGGCTCCCTAATACTCCAAAGAGTAGTTCATATTCCTTTGTTTGGCATTCAAGGCCCTCCATCATCTGGCGTTGCTGTGTTCCCATTTTCTTCCTCCTACTACCTGGAAAGCTCCTTGAGGGTGAAGATACTGTCTTAGCTCAACTCGGTGTCCCCTAGTGCTTGGCACAGTGCTCCTGAACACAGTAGGCACTTAATAAATACTTACTATTTTCACTGTGTTTTATTTTACATCACTCCCCTACACACATGGTGCTTCAGTCAAAACAGACTACTTTTATGTCCCCAAACATGCTTGTACTTTGTTCACACTATTCCCAGGACTTGGAATGCCTTCCTTCTTTCTTTGCTTGTTGAAGGCCTTGTGCTTTAAAACCACATCCCCAGGCTACCTCTTCCATGAAACTTTCCCTGATCCCTCCAGTTGGTAATTTCTTGTCAGGCTTCCCCTACCCTTGTTTTCTGGCTCTTTAATAGATCTTTTCATGTATTTTTTGAGGTACCTACGTGGTGCAATGGATGGAATACTAGGCCTGGAGTCAGGAAGACTCATTTTCCTGAGTTCAAATCTGGCCCCAGACACTTCCTAGCTGTGTGACCCTGGGCAAGTCACTTAACCCTGTTTGCCTCAGTTCCTCATCTGTAAAATGAGCTGGAGAAGGAAATGGCAAACCCACTCCAGTATCTTTGCCAAAAAAACTCCAAATGGGATCACGAATAGTCAGACTCAACTGAAACAACTGAACAACAATATTGTATGATCTGGGTTGGTGACATCTCCTGACTATTCTATAAGCAATTTGAGGGCATGGACTATTATCACATGTAAGCTTGGTATCTCCCCCAGTACCTAGCACCGGGCTCTGTGCGCAGTAGACACTGTTTATCATATTGTATTGGAAGTAAATAAAGGGGTCCTTTCTGACACTATGGTTCTGCTACAGTTATGCCCCTGATGGAAAAAAGGTCCCAGATAGTGGTTGCAGAAAATAATAAGTCACTTGTTTTCAGGTGTCAGGACAGTATGGGAAGTGGTCTGGGATTAAACATGGTGAGAAGCAGGATGAGAGACAGCAAGAGGAAGAGAGCCTTGCTCCCTGGTCACAGCTGGAGGCCAGAGTTGGAATCCTGCCTTTCTGAGGTAATTAGAGCTCAGAAACAGGATCCAAATGGATTTCAATTGAATAGGATTCCTTCTTCTCCAAAAGCCTACTAGCTAGCCTAGAGAAGCTTAGTTTAGGGTGGAGGTTCCTAATCTTTTTGTGCCATGGACCTCTTTCCATGATCTGATAAAAACTAGGGAACCCTTCTCAGAATAATGTGTTTAAATGTATAAAATAAAATTATAAAGGAAACCAATTATATTGAAATACAGTAATCAAACAAATATTTTTTAAAGTTCATAGACCAGAGGTTAATAACTCCTGGTTTAAGGGGTCATGGTGGGTGCTTTGAGTCTGGACCCTTGTATTCCATTCTTGTATCTATCTGCTGCTGAAACTGATCATTTTTCTCTTTCCCATCTGAAAACTGGGAGAAATCATCTTTCAACTCTGAGGCTAGTTGGGAAGGTTTATGGATTAGTGTCTGATAGTTGCTCAATGATTTAAGATGGTGTTCTTAACCTAGGGTCCATTAACTTAAAAAAATGAATATTCTTGTAACTATTTTAATATAATTGATTTCCTTTGTAATGCTGTGTATCTTATTTTATGCATTTAAAAGCATTCTTCTGAGAAGGGGTCCCTAGTTATTATCAAACTGCAAAAGAGGCCTCTGACAGACAAAAAGGTTAAAAAACTCTTGATCTAGGGGTAAACGGGTACTAAATAAGTGCAAAGTTCCACCAACTGCCTTTCATTACCATCTATTGGCACTGAAGACCCCTCTAAACTAGCAATGACAGGTCAAACCACAAGAGGGCAACACAGCCCAACAAAGCCATGATTTTTTCCTCAACGTCCTGGGGGGAGGGAAATTGGAAAGCTGGCAATGAATGGTTGTGTTGCTGTTCCAAGCCCTGCCTTAGAGGGGTATCGAAAGTCAGTTCAGAATTTCTCCCTCTCAAAGTGTTGTTGGACTTTCTACTTGGAAATTTGGAACTAAGTCAGTTGACTCCTCCTAGCTTTGCCAACCATTGAGATGGCTTGTCTTAAATGCCTAGGCCCATCCCAAAGGTGTGTCATTGCCACCCAGGGAGGAGGAAAATAGAGGTGATGGTCTAAGATAGTTCAATATTATCTCCCCAGACACACAAACCATAGCACAGTGTGTAATATACTGTAGGAAGGCCATTTCCCTTGTTCTTTTCTCCCTGTTATTTTGAAACTCATTCCAAGGTATGGAATGCTCCCATTAATCCAGGATGGCTGGGGAAAGGTAATTTTTTTGGTTACTATATATACAACTATTGATACACTTCAAGCACTTTAATAAATATTTGATTGATTGACTGGTACTTGGAGAAGCCATTATATTACTGGTTGGGTAATTCTGTTGCCAATACAAATTGCAACCCCTCCTAGCCTTAGAAGATGGCCTTTATGAGCTCCTGTAGGGCTGGCCCACCAGAAAAGCTTCCAGCTTTAGGCCAACCTGGGGACCCTCTCCTCCTCATTTAGCTGAGCTGGTATCACCAACCCGTACTCAAAACCTTTCTAGCTTGGTAGGACCTATCAGAACTAGAACACTACTGTCAAAGCCTCTGGGTCACCTCTATGCCACAAGGAGGCAACGGGGTTAGACATCAGTGGAGGATAGCTTCTCTGTGTGGGGGAAAAGAATATTCTAATTCACAAGATTCTTGTGAGGAGCAAATTAGATAATGTATGCAATGCAATTTGCAAACCTTAAAGAATCATAAGTGATTATTTTTTCTCCAATCTGCGGTGTGATTGATGTAGGGAAGCTCTAATGTGAAAATTCCCTCTAATTCACGTAAGTTGGAAACTCATCTATAACTTAAAGTCTTAGAGAAGTGCCTGAAGTGCAGATGAAGAGGTTAAGTGACTTTGCCCATGGCGTCAGAGGCCATATATGTGTGAAGTATGTTGTCAGCAGGACACAAACCCAAGTCTTCCTGATTCCAAAGCTGTCCATCTGGCCAATCCACCGTGCTGCCTTATTATTAATACGGATTACCAATTTTCAAAGAAACAAGATAGAATTAAATACACTTAATGCCCTTGGGAAGAGAACCTTGGAGTCATTTAGTCCAGTGCCCTTATATTACAGTTGGAGAAACTGAGGCCCAGAGAAATAAAGTAGCTTTCTGAATGCACGTAGTTCACGAGTAGCAGATTTGGAATTTGAACACAGTTCCTTGACTTCAAAGTCAGCATTTTTATACTGTAGTGTACCACACTGCTCCCGCTAAAAACTACACTGAATATAATTAGATCACTTAGGAAGTTCCACAGAAATTTATTTCTGCATTACCTTTCAGTCAACAATGATAATTACCACTGAACGGCAGGAGTAGAAGATGGAAAAGCCAGACTTGAATCTTTACTGGCCCAAGGGCCATAGTCTGGAAAAAAAAACTTTTTGGTGGAATAAGTCCCTAGTATCAGCTTCTTTCTTTGTTCTTTTCTCATAAAGCAACAGTGGACAAATGAACACTCTTGGTGGGCAGAGAGAATTCTGGATCCATGACAGTCAGGTGGCTACTCACCTCGAGTCTGTGGCAGGGCCCTCACTTCGTTCACATCTGGTTCACTGTTTGGCCGGTGTACTTCCACCATGACAAAGTGATGATTTGTTCCTGACTCGGGGCTGGTCTTATTGAGGGGAATAGGGACAGCAGGAGGAGAGGGAAGAGGAGGACTTGGGAGGCTGCTCCCTGAGGAAGCTTCGAGGGACATGCCCTTCAGATGAGTTGGAGATTGGACCCTGGGGAAGGGGCCTATTGGGTGCTGGTTGACAAATGACAGGTGTGTATCCATTGGTCTCTTCGAGCTGTGATTGGCTGGAGAAATTGTGGCATAGATGGGGCTGGCAAGAGACCCCTCTGTAGAGGAAGTGACTCCAGTGGATGGGGTGCTGGCTGTGTCCCTCTCTGGTTGGCCGGTTGGTGACCTAATGTCGCAGGGTGCTGTGAAGAAAAGGCCCGATTGAGAAGACGCTGAAGAAGGGCGTTTGAGATTGTCTTTCCCGGTCTTTCTCTGCTGGGGAACAGAAGAGTCAAGGGACTGAGCTGGAGGAGGTGGTGGTGGAGGCTTGAAGTTGGTTGGTGCCTCAGAAAGAGATGTGACATCATCCTGCCAAAAAATCCAGCAAGAACAGAGGCCATCAGACTCCATCACTAGATCTGGGAGAGCCTTCTTTTGTAGAGAGACTCAAGAGCTGAGAGGCTGTACCAGAACCAACCAAGATCCAGGCTGGAATTCTGTCTCCTACAGTTGTCAGGGTTCTATCAGCCACGTGACGAAGCCTGCTTCAATAATGCAACACCATAGTGGAAAATCTGTGTCATCTCAGCTGCTGATAGAGGACTGACCCCTGTGGCTTGGATCTTGGCAAGTGTCTTTGCAGACGGTACTGTTACCTAATAGCCTCCTCCTTTCGGGAATCTCACTAAGTCCTTGGCATAAGCAATATCCTGAAGCAAGGAGTCTTTACAGACTTAATTACAGGCAGTAGGCAGTATTAAAAAAAAAAGACATTTCCTTGGCTTTGCTACATTCTAAGAGATTAGCTTATACCAGTGAGGAGCCCAGCGGGAGTGAAGGAAGAGAAAATGAGCATACAGGTGACATTATCCTTCAACTCTACACAAAGAAGCCCAGTGGCTTGCAAACAGAAACAGAATAAGATACAATAGATAATGTGGGATGGCTGCTGTTAGGACAGAGAAAAAAACAAGGGTTAGCCCAAGAGAGAAAAAGATACAGAGTTATGCAAGCAAAGGATTTAGAGCCAGAAAAGACCATATGACACAGAAGGTTAGAGCTGGAAGGGACCTGAGAACACACAGCCTCTGAGAGAGAAAGCCCTTCCCTAGACCCCTTAGGGAAGTATCTATTCTAATCCCCTCATTTTATGTACTGAGGACACTGAAATCCAGCAAGGGGACCACAACCTGCCAAAGCCCCCACAGGTATTAAGTGGCTATACCGAGGCTGAGGCGAAGAGCAGTGCTGGGCCTAAAACTGAGACCCAGAGCCCCCTTTTGTCATTATGCCAAATGTATTTCATGAAAACCAGGTTACATGCCTGGTAGAGTTGATTGTTTTTTTTTGTTTGTTTTTTGTTTTTTTTTGTGGTTTTGTGTCAACCTACAATTTCATCAGAGTGGGGGATTCCAGATATGGAAACTCCCTCCCCTTATCCAAATCAGCTCCTCATCTATAATTTGGTGCTTTAGAGAGCTACCCAAGGGCACTGAGGGGATAAGAGATTAATCTAATTAATCCAATTAGTCTATGTCAGAAACAGGACTTGAACCCAGGTCTTGGGGGTTCTAAGGCAGGTCCTCTAACTCAAGCCTGATGCCAACTATCTGTGCTACCATGGGATAGTCACTTAAATTCCCTGGGCTTAAATCTCCTCCTCTATAAAACAAGAGTGTTGAATTAACTTGCCTCTGAGGTTAATTCCAGTTTCCATCTATGAGCCTATACTTTTTGGTGATATGCTGCTTCTCTGTTAGTTCTTTTTTTTCCCCCTTGGAGACAACTGGGGCTAAGTGATTTGTCCAGGGTCATACAACTAGTAAATATCTGAGGCTGGATTTGAACTCAGGTCTTCCTGATTCCAGGGCCAGTGTTCTATCCACTATACCACCTCGCTGACCTTTCTGTTAGTTCTTAGTGGCCAAAATGTCCTATTCCAATTAAAGGCCAAAAGAGAAGGCAGAACATCTTACCAAGGAAATATCTGGCAGAGCATTGATACTGCCCTGGATTACTTCTCCAGTCTCTTCAAGGTCCAGAGTATTCTAGAAAGAAATGAAAAGGAAAGCAGTCAGCAAATACACACTGAAAAGAAGCAAGCTACTTGTCCTCTGCGAAAACAACACTGTCTTTCTGCTGCTTCAGTGCCATATCATGGCTCCTCTCCTTTCCCCTCCATCACTCCAGCTCAAAACAACATGTGGAGGACTTGTTTTTAGATTTAGCCTATTGATAAAGTGAGCACTGGTTGCTAGCCTTCATTTCTGTACGTTTCACTAAATCAGAATTCCCCGTTCCTGAGAGCTTGGTACCATCCCTTGAGCATGCACAAGTGGTATACATCTCTGTTAACTTCATCCGTTGTTCTCATCCCCCGCTGTAAAGGGTGAGGCCTCCCTGGGCCTTGGCAATCACCTATTCAAATCAGTGCCAGATGTTTGCTTTCTGTGTAATTGCAGCCCAAATGACATTATGAAATGTCAAAATATGTCGTGGTCCATGTCAACAACTGAGGTAGTCAGAAAAATGAGCACCAGGGAAAATGAAATCAATTCACGACTCTCCAAAAGCTGTCCTGGTAGAGAACAGCAATCAGGGAATGGGAAAGAAGTAATTTGGGCCTAAAGTGACTTTGACTAAGCACTCCCAATTAATGCCAAAAAATTTGTAAAAACATCATTTGCATGTGTTAGGAAGAGCAAAAGAGGAATGTAAAAATTTTGTTGATGTCTCCTGCAGGTAGAGCAGCAATACCCAGCATCCGAATACAGCTGGGACATGCACAGGTGTAGAGAAAAAACATGACCTTGGCCCTAGTAGGCCTCATCCAGAAGTTTGGGTTAGCACTGAGTCAAGTCTGGAGGATGCCCAGCCTAGTGGGGTATGGTCACATGGCTAAGTCAGGCGCAGAGCTGGGATTCTAACCCAGGTTTCCTAATTCCAAGTCCAAGTGCATCAGGCCTAGCTCTGCTGCCGACTAGCCGTGCCACCATAAATGTATTACATGACCTCACTGAGTCTGAATTTCATCTATAAAATAGGAATCATGATACTTGTACTGCTCGCTGTATTAGAACCACCCGAAACTCTGCTCTAGCTGTATTTGGATGCCCAATTGCAGAGCTGTCAAGAAATAAGTACTCTGTAAGTCACAAAGTTATTACAGTGGCTTGGAGAAGAGGATGAACTATTAGCATGTGAGTGAATCACAAATATTAGAGGTAAACGCATTCTTGGGATGCAGGTTCTTCTTTACAGAGATTCTTCTGTTCTCCTAGGGAAAGAGTGCGAGGAATGGGCTTCATCTGGTGGACCTGTCATAATGTTCCCCTTCTTTGAAGGCTTAACCTAAGGCCTACCTCCTCCCTGGAGTCTTTCACAGGCACCCCCTACTCACAATAGCTCTTTCCAATGAAAACCCAGAGAACTTAGTCTTAGAACACCCTAACCTCCCAGTCCCACAACCCGACGCTTAGCAAACATTGCTTTGCATCATCAGTAATCTTCTCCCTGTCTCACCAACTAGGCTATGTGAACGTGGGCAAGTCACTTAACCTCTGCCAACCTTGGTTTCCTCATCTATAAAATGGGGATAGTAACAGCATGGGGCTGTTGTGAGGACCAAAGCAGATAATATTTATAAAGCTCTTTGTAAACCTTTACACTCTGTATGCTAGCTGTTACCATCTATGTGACCTGGAGCGGGTTATTCTTCCTCGTGGACCTCAGTTTCCTCATCTGTAAAATGAAGGGACTGGACTAGGTGATTCCAAAGGGCCTTTCCAGCTGTACATCTATAATCCTAAACTACACATTCTTCCTGCCTTTGGGTGAGCTGAAATACCCAGAAAAGGAGGTGTGATATTGACAGAGGCCTAGGATGGTGACAGTGGGCACTTGGAAGGGAAAGAATGGCTTTCTTCATTACTGCATTGGACAGAATTGGCATTCTTGTATTGTGGACAGTGTGAAATATTATTTCATTCTCTGCCATTAATGGTGTAATTGGTGCTGGAAGGTGCCAACGAGTGGAGAACACATCTTCTGTTCCATTGCCTGTTATTTATTGTTGGATAAACAACTGATTAGTCTGGAGCTGCAGGACGTCTGCATTTCTCCATCTGCTAAATCCAGTTGCTCAGAAGACTCCTGTCCTTAAAGTCTTACCTCATTTGCTACCAAAATAGACAGAGACAGCAGTTTAATAACCCAATGTATTAGTCAGCAAAGATATTCAAAGAATAGGCTTTTTTATCGCTACAGCTTCCTGATAAGGATCAAGGTCAGAAGAACTGCTCAAATGAGGGAGTTAGGAGCAAGCATCTCTAGAGAAAAATGGCAAAAAAGATTCAGAACCTAGCCCTTGAAGAAGAGAAGCTTCCAACAGGGAAGAGATTTTCTTGGAGGGGTGGGGGAGGCAGGTCCTCAGGTCACAGTCATTCCATCCGTGTCACCTGGGAGTGAAAGGGAACCCACCTAACTTGGAGTTAGAGAAAACAATCAAGCACCCTGGGAAATCCCTGCTCCAGCTGGAACACTCCAACTGAAAGTTCTCATTCCCTCCCTCCCATTAATATTTACTATCTGCACCACTCCAGCGTCCTTCTCCTGTTCTGTGCATGTTGTCAGGCTGTGAGGACCTGAAGGGCAGGGACCCTATCTTGTATTCCCCTCAGGACTTAGCACCATTCCTTGCACACAAACATTTAATAAACAGGTACTGAATGATCATGGTGTTGTAGAAGGAAGAATACTGAGTGTGGATTCAGTAAACCAGGATTCAAATGCCAACTTATTACCAGTGTGACCTTGTGTAAGTCCCAGCTCCTCTATGGGCTTCAATTTCTTCAACTGGGTTAGACTAGATGATCTATAAAGTACCTTCTCGCTCTAAAACTCAATGAATCTGTAAGTCTTCAGGA